CATTTCACTTCATCCCTTAAGACTTGCAAGAGTGAGGACTTACATCAACCTTTTAAAACCTCTGCAACTTTTCTAGACTTACTTAGGCTTGTGCTTGCTCAAGAAGCTAGGGTGAGAACCCTAAGGAAACCTACCCTCATTCTTTAAAAGTTGAGAGCCATTTCTTGAAGAAACCCTAAAAGAGCAGTTAATAAAAATTTTCTTTTTATAATAATAAACTCAAACTCTTATATTAAACTTAAAAGTCTTTTAATTACTTAACTTGAATTTGGTTGCAAGTTATGTTATTTTTTCAAGTTAAAATATAAGAAAGGGTATTTTTCATTCCTAATAGTTATTTAAAGTAACTTTCATTAAAACTTATACTTTCTTTCTTTTACATGGGTGCAATGCTTCTTTCATATTTCATCCAACTTTTAGATTATTTTTACACTGAATTTTAAATAGTTGAATCGGAACAATTCGTTTGTGATTTTTTTTTCTTTTCTCATCTTAGGCAATTTTTAATGATAACAAAATAAAAACATATACCCTTTAAAATAACTTTGTAATTATAATTTAATTTATAAATTCTGAATCACATTGATGGCAAATTTTTATAATAATGTATTAATATTTGCATTTAAATTATAAAATATTTTCTTCTATTATTAAATAATCATTGTTATTTAGTAGTATCAGTAATAGTTTTATTTAAAAATTTGGATCAACTCAAAAAATAGAAAAAATTCAGTAAATGATTGGTTTTATTAAATGTTAATAATTTTTAATGGTTGTTAGCAGAACAAAGGCATAATAGTGAATTTTGTTAGGCAAATGAAAAATGAAGCTTGCTATTTTTTTTATAATAATTTATCATTATTTTATACTATGTTTTTAATTATTCATGCAGTTAATATTTTTAGACTATTAATTTCTTTTCATTTTCTAATATTTATATGTATGTTTTGAATTGCACGAATGGATTTATAATTTTACTAGGTTATTATTATCCGCCCGACAAAATATTACCTCTTTGTTTTATATTAGTTGTTATTTGAGAATTTTTATTTGTCTTAAATTGTTATTTGTCATTTTGGAATATCCAGAAAACATTTATTACTTTTTTTCTAATAATGACCTTATTTATTAAAAATTTGTCTACTAACAACTAAAATAACTTTAAAACTGCAATGACTTCAGCACATTTACCATGAGTCTTTCAGTAAAATTAATTTTTTCTACATAATTATTAGTGGAACTAAATATTTTCCTTAAGATATGTGCATATTATAGATGACAACTAATATAAAAATAAGAGAGTGTTTTTGTTTTCTTCTCTCGTTAATTTTCATCAAATTTTACTTATTCTTTATTCCAACCAAAGAATGTACAAGCTTTTTATCTTTAAATATTCATCTCAACCGTGCATAATATACTATAACTTAAATGAGTAACAATATTTATGAAATAAATTGTTTCATGTTTATTTTTTAAAATTTAGAATTCATGTAACAATGATGACAAAAATTGTGCGTAGTAAAAATTATTATTTTAACATAAGAAAGTATTTATTACATCTTTAATATTATTACAACTTCATTTTTTTTATCTTTATTTATAATTAAATTAAAAAATATTAACTTCAACCCTAAGAGCAACAACTAATAATAGTTAAAAAGATAAACATTTGTTATATTTTTTTTAAATTTAACATCATAAATACATATTTTTTTCTATACAAATATTTTATTTATAAATGCTTAAATTTAACCCTTAGGCTAACAAAAACCCTTAATAATATTTTTATTATTATTGTAACAAACTACAATTATTTCACTCTGTTCATTTTGTTTCTTTACTGCTTATTTTTTATTTTTGAAACTTTTTCAAACCAATTTGTATAATTTTTTTCAATTATAAAAATAAACATGTTAGCTAAGTTTTATATATATATATATATATATATATATATATATATATATATTAATTATTAAAAAATATTCACATTATTATTTCACAATCAACCCACTATCAATTGTTCAAATTAAATGTATTGAAGTTTTAGTCTTTTATAAGACTTTATTTTAATTTAATTATGCAAAAAAAATTTAAAAAGGAAAAATTTCATATTACTAATATAAACTGTTTATAGTTCTCTAGTAATTAAAATAACCTAAACGACAGTTAATAAAAAAAAGAGAGAGAAAAAAGTAAAATGTTGTAATAGTTATGGCTCTATAAGTAAATTATGACGGACTTTCGCTATAATTCGATTCTTCGCTTTGTTCTTTAAGGTTCACACAACAAGTGTATGAATTTATTGTTCATAGATAAGTATATTCATCAAATAGTAATAAAATGAGTTCTTAAAATACCATCTTATAATATTTTTAAGTATTAATAACATCTTAATTCAATTGTTTGAACTTAAAGAATATGAAATTAAATAAAATAAAGATTTAAATTAAAGAGAAATTAGAGAATAAAGAAAGTAGCACAACCTATAACAATACAATATTTGAGATGAATTTTAGGGCATATATTTTCACCTTTACGCTTCTCTATGTTCAATTTTAGATTAATTTCAATTTTAGTTTACTTATGATTGTCAACCACTCATACTAAATTTATTAATATATAATGATCATACAATGTTAACATTATTTTCTCTAAGCTATCACTTTCAATGGTCATGCAAAGCAAAAGAAAGAGAAAATATAAAGAGCCTACGAACTATTAATTTAATAACGATTGAAATAGAAAAACTAGATTTAGTTTACCTAATTTTTTTATCTTATTTTATCTTATAGATTCATTAACTATATGTAATACAATCACCTACAATATAATTAACTATAATTTGTTTAAGAGTAGTCAATTCTGAGCATACAAATATAGTGCAATAGGATAAATACTAATAAAAAAAAAGAAAACTAAAATTATCATTAATCATAGAGAACACATAGAGTTATGCAAATGATCTATAATAGCCCTAGTTATAGATATATCTAGACATAATGTAATAGAAAATTAAAATAATAAAAAATTAATCCATAATCATTCAAAGAGTAAACACAAAGTAGATAAGTTCATAATAGAGAAGAAATGAAGAGAGTTCTTAATCCTAAGACATGCTTCTCAAAGCTGCAAAAGTTGTCAATGGCCAGGCAAAACCAAGATGTTCTCATTTGCATCCCTCAAGGGTTCTTTTTTATAAGGTTTCGAAACACTAATATTTCATCAAATTTAAATATTTAGACAAGAAGCACGACTATGCACACCAATATACATGGTTGTGCATATGCTTTAAAGCATTTTTATGCTAATTGTTGAAGCATGGATGTGCTCGTTGCTATTTTTTACCAATTTGAGCTCAAAATGCTTTCAAAATCTAATTATGACTTTCTCATGCTAAATTTTACAATTAATATAAAAATCAATATAAAATCATAATCAAATAAGGGTCGAGTACGTAAATATAGGCTGTAAAAACATATTAAAATATAGACTTATCACTTGTGCACTCAAGGACAGAACACTATGAAACCACACAAACAATTATCCAAAAGAAAAATAGAGAAGAAAATAAAAATAAAAGAATTGTAAAAAGAGTGAATTTTTCCTTCTCCAATGCTTAAGTTGCATTATCCTCAAATAGATGTCTCGATACTCTTCCGTTTGGCAATAGTACCATAAATACTATTTAAAGTCAATTAATTATTACAAAAATTGAAATTTTACATGAATGATGTCAATCTTTGAAATTGTTTCTTTTAAATAGTATTCAAAATAATTACTAATTAAAAAACATGACTAATTATAAGAATAATGGCAACAAAAATGTAATATCTATGAAATTTTATCTTAAATAGTTACTAAATTTATGGCACTTGAATGTCATTATCTTTACAATCCTCCACTAATGGCATCAAAGTGACTATAATCTTTGGACAAAAAGAAAGAATTTTGTGCTCAAGTGTTAATATCCTTAGGATTGAATTAACACACAGTGAAGTGAGGCAACACCTTAAATCTAAAAAGTGAATTATTATTGAATTTAATGGACTCGGGATAAAACCCTCACAACATGCACTTTAACTTTAAAATTGTAATAGCTGCGCGATGACATGTTTACACAAATATTTTGGGTCAAGTGATATAACACTATTTTTTATGAAGTGTCTGACAACGTTGTGACCTATGCATGTGTTTTCTTTTGCCACTATAAGCACTATTATTAACTACACTAATAGCAACTTAAGAATCACAATAAGGAGAGATAAGAGGTATAGGTCTCCTCCACAATGGTACATTTGTCATTAGGCCTCTTAGCCATTCTACTTCTTGACCACAAGTTCAAGAGCTATGAATTATGATTCCATTTTAGATCTTTCTATGCATATTTGTTTACCTAATTTCTAAGATATTGCTCCACCTCCTAAGATAAACCGCTACTTGTAAGTAGGACTTACCTCATCATTGTCTAAAACTCAATTTGCCTCATAAAATCCTTCTAAGACAACAGGAAAGTTAGAGAAATGTAAACATTAATCCATTATCCCTTTTAAGTACTTAAATAATTTGATAAAGGACATTTTAATGTCTACCACTGAGTTATGAGTATATATACTCAACGTATAATATATGCAATATAAGGTCTAGTATAGTTCATAAAATACATAACACTACTAATTATTTTGGCATATTTAGATTGAGACACACTAATTCTACAATTTTTTAAAATATATTTTTCATATTTAAAATATAATTTTAATTAATTATAAATAAAATAAATTTATAAAAATAATAAAAAATATTTATCTCTTAATAAAAAATATTATAATAATTATTAATTACTTTGATAAAAAAATGAATTAACCTAGCTTTAACTTTTTTCTTAGTCCACCTTTTTTTTATAAATTGGAGCTTAAAGTTAAAGTAAATAATAAAAAAAAAAATGGCAGTAGTAGGTGGGCTTGGCTATGCACTGGAGCCCCATCCAGCTCTAATGAAAGCCAACAGTTCCAATACAAAAATTCCGATATAAAAAATTTCCCGTTCACCATTTCTGTTACGGAAGCAGAAGCGACTACCCTAAGCCCAGATAGACTCTCATTCATCACACACGCGAAGGTACTTTCCCTTCACTCCCTTCAAATTTGATTTGATTGTTTCTGGGTACCGTTGGTAGGTATTAGTGTTAGCAAGTGCATCTGGGACTGCAATTTTACTTGAATTTTCGGCGTTTGACTACAAACTACTCCTTTTCTATTTCTTTAACTGAGGACAATGAGAATACTGAAGATGGGTCTAACAAATTTTGGGTCTTCTGAAAGGAAATGGAGAAGAAAGGGGAAAATGTTGACTGTGATTGACTTGGATGGACTTTGTGTGTTTGAAGCTTTTAGACTAATAATTTTCATCATATTCATTTACCCGTAGTTAATTTTATTTTATCTGTCTTTAAGGCTATGTTTTAATTGGTTTTTGGCTGACACCGGTAGGGTCGTGTGATCAATGTAGTCAACTTGACCCAGTGGGATAACGTTTTGCTGTTGTACTTGTCTTTAAAAGGTTCGATGCAATTGCCTATCTACTTATGGGATTGCTTTTTGTGCAAGCCATTTTCTTTTCTTTTCTTTTTTTAATGGTTCATTTTTTTTTACCATCAACTCTATATATTCCATGTTTTAATCATTTTGTTGGGGGGGGGGGGGGGAAGTATTGCAGTTATATTCTGTGGTTATTTACTAAATGTGAAAAGAATATCATTCCATTTGTTTGGCTGGCAAGGTGTTTGGTGTGATGCACCTACTTATCTAATCATTCTTCTAGCTATAATATATAACATCTATAATATGCAAGCTTTAACTGGATATTTACCTGTAAGTTGTCATCTTTGGGCCATTGCTGCAAAGAGTAGGGCCTTTAACATGAAAGATAATTATTTATGCTTCAGTTTAGCTTATGGGGAATGGAGATAATTTCATTCCAAAACATTCTGTTAATATGTACATTTATGCTGTTTTTGCATCGTTCTTGCCTTGCTTCTGAAATTTCTATTCTCATGGTCTTTGAGAAGAACTTCTATGCTAAGAAAAATGCCATTTAACTTAGTTTCTTCCTTCTATGCTTTGACCCGAAGCACCATCTATTTATTACTTCTCCTTTGCAATGGAAAAACATATTCTATTGTCATTTTGAAGCAATCTTTTGTTACTTAAAAAGAAAATTGATTATGTTGATGTATCGTCTATGTCATTTTGTCGTGTGCAATTTGCATGTATATTAATTGTCTTGCCATATTACTAAATTTGCTTTTATTTGGTTCTGTTTCTAGGCCACTCTTCCTGTTATTTCCAACAATGGCTGATGGTCATGAATCAGACAAGAACATTGAGATATGGAAGATCAAGAAATTGATCAAAGCATTGGAGTCTGCTAGAGGAAATGGTACCAGTATGATTTCTCTGATTATGCCTCCACGTGATCAAATATCTCGTGTAACTAAGATGTTGGGAGATGAATTTGGAACTGCTTCAAATATCAAAAGCAGGGTGAACCGGCAGTCAGTGTTGGCTGCCATTACTTCTGCTCAACAGAGGTTGAAACTGTATAACAAGGTTCCTCCAAATGGTTTGGTTCTTTATACTGGCACTACTGTCACTGAAGATGGCAAGGAAAAAAAGGTGACAATTGATTTTGAACCTTTCAAGCCTATCAATGCATCACTTTACCTCTGTGATAACAAGTTTCACACAGAAGCTCTAAATGAACTTTTAGAGAGTGATGACAAGTTTGGTTTTATTATTATGGATGGTAATGGCACCCTTTTTGGGACTTTAAGTGGAAATACTCGGGAAGTGCTTCATAAATTTACTGTTGATCTACCGAAGAAACATGGCAGAGGAGGTCAGTCAGCTTTGCGTTTTGCTCGTCTTCGAATGGAAAAGCGGCACAATTATGTTAGGAAGACTGCAGAACTTGCTACCCAGTTTTTCATCAATCCTGCTACTAGTCAGCCTAATGTTTCAGGACTTATACTTGCTGGTTCAGCTGACTTCAAAACTGAGCTGAGTCAGTCAGATATGTTTGATCCTCGTCTCCAAGCAAAAATATTAAATGTGGTTGATGTTTCCTATGGTGGGGAAAATGGCTTTAATCAAGCTATTGAGTTATCCGCAGAACTGTTATCTAATGTAAAGTTCATACAAGAGAAACGCTTGATAGGAAAATATTTTGAAGAAATCAGCCAGGACACTGGGAAATACGTCTTTGGGGTTGATGACACATTGAAGGCTCTGGAGATGGGTGCTGTCGAAACACTAATTGTGTGGGAAAATTTGGATGTTAATAGATATGTACTGAAAAATAGCACTACTGGTGAGATTGTCATAAAACACTTGAATAAGGAACAAGAGGCTAATCAAAGTAACTTCAGAGATTTAGCCACCTCTGCAGAGTTAGAGGTTCAGGAAAAGATGTCCTTGCTTGAGTGGTTTGCCAATGAGTACAAACGATTTGGATGCTCGCTGGAATTTGTGACCAACAAATCTCAAGAAGGATCTCAATTTTGCAGAGGGTTTGGTGGTATTGGGGGTATCCTTCGCTACCAGCTTGACATCAGATCATTTGACGAGTTATCCGACGATGGAGAAGTGTATGCAGATTCTGATTAAGCATGTTATACTGTGGAGCTTTCCGCCGGTTTTGGGTAATTGAATGGAGCTGCAAACTCCATGACAAAAATTTCCTAGACAGTACCTGGATTTTGTGGTATTAGGACTTGTTCCCGTGTTATTACATTCTTCGTGCATGTATTATAAACTTCCCTTTGTTAAATATTGTATCCTTATGACAACTCTACCAGATTTTGAGGTGACTCCCCAAGGAAGGGTAGGCAAGCAATCAGTTTACCTTGGGAAGTCATTCTTTAATTCAATGATATCAATGCTTCAATGTCTTATCTTACCTCAAGGTTGGTGGCATTTACATTTTGTTTAGTTAGTTCATTGAGTGGAGGCAATCCTGCTTGTATTACTGTCTGTTTTTCTCTCTTGTACTTCATTGTGGTGCTGCATGCGATAATTTGTTTTAAGAATCAAAATTACAATCGGTAAAATTAATCTCATAGTTCCTGAACTATTTGGAGATTTTTAAATAAGTTTATATACTTTAAATATTTGTGATTTGAGTTTTTAAACTTATGGGGCCCCCTTGCTGAGTTTCATTAGGGTTCTGTCCAAAATTGAAAATTTTCAAATAGTTTAGGAATTAAATGGTTAGTTTATTATTTAGTAAATCTTTAAATTATTCGATCATTTTCATTTGGGTTTTGTATTTGACTAAATCTTAGTCAGATATTTAATTAAAACATTTATAAATTTTGATAAATTTTTAACTATTTTAAAAGTTCATAGATTAATATGCGTTTTTCTTGCTTTATTTGTCAAATATTCATAGATTAAAAAAGTCTACCGATACTTACCATCAAAAGATGTCAAATATCATGACTGTTACAGTAATATACAGTAAATTCAACTCACCGATTAACGAAACAAGAAAGACTTCATCTTTTCCTCATCCGAGTAAGAGTAGGTTGGACATACATCCCTTTCACTCTGAGTGGAGGAACTCATGCCACTACCTGGTAAGCTTGTGCACATCCATTCTCGATAAGGAAAGTATAACACAATTTATAGAATTTAAGGTAAAACGTACATGCAATAATGAAGTATGCGCGTAATATAGATTATTTAGAAAGTTATATTGGGGTTAGGGTGTTATATAATGTACATGATGAGTATGGTATGAGTTTGAATTTAAATTATTAAAAGATTATCACTTTATAAGATTTGACACTGCTATAAAATTTAACACGTTTATGGTATAAACATTATAAATCATGTTGATATTAGTGCGAAAGTCATATATAAACATACCTCAACAACTTTTTATATAATATCAACTGTGTTTATTTCGTTCTTTAAATTATAACTACCTAGATGATTTCGACGTTAATTTTTTTTTAAAACAATTTACAATAGTATACAATCAAACTATTTATAGTTTTATATTGGATTTGACAAGTTTTTAATCTCTTAAAAAATTATAATTTTTTTATTTGATCCTTTATTTTAAGTTTTTTAAAAAATATTTTTCCTATTTTTATCCCATGTGATTTTTATATTTGTGATTTATTATTTTTTATTGTTTATTTATGACATCCAACTTGACTTATATAATACGATGTAAAATTGATATAAATAATTATGCGACATTTACATTTTATTCTTTTTATACTCTCAAATTTCAATTTTAAAATGTTAATAATGACATGTTTCCATGTTATATTTAAGTCAAATTATTTAAGTCATAAGGAATGTCACGTGAGTAAGCAACGGAACAAGTTAATAAATAGCTAATACATTAACTAAATAAAAATGAAAAACGACTTTTGTGGGATTAAATTGAAAAAAAAGAGGGGGGGAGGGGGGGGAGGGATGGGGCAACTGAAAAAACTATGAACTTTTAAAGCATGTTGTATTGGTTTTAAGATGTATCAACAGAATATAAAATAATTTTAGATAAATACAAAATATTATAAGCATATTAATTTACATATATCTAGACCCGATAAAGATTAAGATTATTTCTATTTATTTTTAGGTATTTATTATGATACTCGTAAACTTAAGAGAATATTTTATATTCTTTTATAAATTAACTGTTGAGATTCATCTAATGTCTTAAAGATTAAAGGTATTAATATGTTTTTTTTAATTAAACTATTTATTCTACTATTTATTAGCATAAAATTAATGATGATGATTATTTTATGTATAAAAGAATGTATTAAACTTTCTCAATTATAAAGGGTACTGTAAATTTTATCTTATTTTTAATCCATCTTTTATTGTTTGAAATATTAATACAAGCTTATATAATTTGTATAGTGTCATTACTTTTTAAATTTAAAAAATAATGCAAGACATATTTCAAAATCCTTAAAATTTTATGAGGCCAATGAAAATGTGATATAACCTCTAAACAACTTTAATTATAATACAATTCTTTTGTCGTGCTTAACAAATCCATTAAGTTAAAGTTAATATATTATTTGGTCCCAAAGTGATAACTCGGGTTATTTAAGTTTCTAAAGTTTGCATCGATACAAGTATTCCTAAGAAGTGAGCATCGATGTTATTATATGTAACAAAAACGTTGATGTGCAAGTATAGGTGCATGAAATTATTTGCCAATTAAATTTCCTATGTGAAATCCCATAATAATGTCATCTCTAAAACATTAGAAAAATATTGAAATTTGCACACGTGTTCACCCTAAAATGAATGTTTATTCAAATTGGAAATTTCCAATAGTAGAAAGTTAAGGGTAGGTGGATACTGGTAAAAAATGGAGGTGTATTTTCAGTAGAAAATTAGGGTAAAATTTACCTTTTTGTATGGTTAATGCATTGCATCCCAATAGGCTACCTAATGGCAATTATTATACTGTGTAGTTAGTGTTTCATGTTAGCATTTCACGTACAACTTAAAGATACTAATCGGATGGAATGATTAACTTTGCCAGACCAATTTGTAGAGATGCACACTTTTGAAGATTAAAGAAATACTTTAGGATTGTGTTTGGACGGAGTAATTTAAAAACTTTACATTTTATTTTATGTATTTAGATAAAAAGAAATTAATTTTAAAATATTATATTATTTTAATTAGATAGTTTTTATGTCAAATAAAATAATTTTAAATGATTATTCTTCATAGAGAATTTAATTTTTTTTGTATTATGCTTGACTTTTTATATTAATTATTTATACTTCCTTTCTTATATACTTAATTTTCACTTTAAATAATTTTATTATTTATTATATTTTAAAAAAATTTAAATTCTTCATCCAAATACAATATAAAAGATAGAATTATATATTAAATCTAAATTTTAAAATATTTCATTAAATTTCCTCAGTTTCTTTATGAAATACCACATTTTTTGGAATGTTTATTTTTCCCCACATCACATCTAAAGAATTGAGCACTAACCCTTACACTTGCAGTTTGACTCTCGCAAACTAGTGTTTCGTAACGATGACAAATAGACAAGCTTCCTCGAAAGAAAGAAAAAAAATCAACATCAATTTCAGGATTTATTTATTTAAAATAAAAAAAAAACTTTAAAAATATCTCAATTCAACTTAAAACATAAATTGCACAAAATTAAAATATTTTGTAAATTTTACGAGTCATATCAGGTTTGATTGAATTATACTCAAGCATATATCTGAATTCAATTCAATTCAGTTAACGCGAAAACTGAACCTCCAATTTTAAATTCTTTTAAAGCAAATTTAGCCTTACTTAAATGAATATAAGCTGAATAACAAAATAAAAATATGAAAAATTTGCTTAAGCACTTAGAACTCCTTACAACATCTTCCCAACACACCAGTGCATACAACATTTCCCAAAGCTCATTTCCATGGTCGTTCGCTCTTCAACCTCCAACGTCATACTCAATATGATGCTCACAGTGTATACCCACATCTATTATTTATTCCTCTCTTCTCTACACTCAAATATTACCGTATTCTTCAAATTCCAAAACACCCTTTTTGTACCTAAAGATTTTGAATGAGATAGAAAGCGGTGCTGGAACCTCAGAAATTCATCATCGTACGGCTACTAGAATCTCAACTCAAAGGAAAAGTCAACATTTGCAGTGATGAGCCATCTTATCATTTTTCCACTCACTTTTTGTTAGGAGTCTCAATTCATACTCAGATTTTGATGCATTTGATATGATATGGGTAGGGTGTTTGACCAATCCGAAGTGTGTATTCCATTACAATACCAGATTTGTTGATTTGTTCCCATTAGAGTTTGAGCTTTGTGGCAATGTGAAAGACCGTTGCAGTTCTGCATAATTTTGGGCTATTCTATCAACTTGGAGAGAAATGGATGCAGATGGAAGATGGCTGGAAAGGATGAAAAATTTTCTTAAGCGAATTTTCTATATTAACTAGACTGGATCAAGCACACCCCATGCTAATAGTGAGCATGTGCTCGATTGAAAGTCGTTAAACCTTGGTACGACTTCTTATTTATACATAAGTATTTTAGGTATGTACGACTTATGAGTTGTGCTTGTTGAAAAACTAAAATATAAGTTGTTATGCGTGCATGTGTCAAGCATATGTGTGCTTAATAGACAAGTTCTTCACCTAGGTCGTGCAAACTTGTAAAACGACCTCTTAAATTTAGTTAAAATATATTTAATTTAAATTAACACATTTGTGCCTTTTTATTAAGCGCAATTATGCTTAATAATGATGACACGAGGTGTGCTCGAGTCGTAGTTACAACTACTCGTAATGGAATAAGGAACGATTACCCTTACATTATACTCCATCATACTGATAAGGCAGTGTAATTTGATGATCCTCGTCTTCAACAATATACAAACTAAGTGGTCATTTATCCAATTAACAAATTGGGTAAATACTTTTTGATTCCTTTACAAATCTTTACGTTTTTCAAATGTGTCCTACTTGTTTCACATGTAAGTTATTTTATTCGGGTAGAAATTGTGAATGTAACTTTTCTAGACATTGTAATAAATTGTTAGGATAGTTTGGAACCTCTCATAATGCTTTACTTTGCCTTTAATATTGAATTTTGTACCTTTCTCCAAAGTTTTGTTCGTTGAACACGACTGTGCATGAGTTTATTACTATCGTGTTCAACTAAATTTAGAGATTTTGATTTTTGTTAGTATGGGCGTGCTAGTTATGAACATGGTTGTACTCAGTGTAAATTTGGATTAATATTGCTGGAAATGAGCACAGCCTATGTTGAGTTAAACATGACGTGCTTATTTTATTTACACTAAAATTTGTTAATGGTCTTATTTATGCATATGGCTAAGAGAGCGCGTGCAAGTTCTAGCCGACGTCCAAAGGCAATGGATCTTATGATGAAGCTAACATGGACTTAGGTTATTTGATTTGGTGTTCTTGAGATTGGAAGTCACGTATTGAGAAGCTAAAGAACTACGTCTTTCACCGAACTCGGTATATAATCCGAGGGAAATGGAGAAGTTAGGACTAATGGAAGACATTGACACCCTCATTTCTGCGATTGGATGGGAAGCTCTAGCCAACATAGAAGATATGGCCTTTAGGGAGCTAACTTTGGAGTTTATTTACGATAAAACTTTGATGTTTAACCGTTTTGAAGTATCTATTTATTGTCATACAATTGATTCACAACTTCCATTTATTTTGCAACATTTTAAGCACTCTTATTTTGTTTTCTATCACTTGACAAAATGAAATTAAATAACTTAATAAGAAATAAAATAAACAAGCATTCCATTTACGCCTAGAACAGAAGACACGTGTAAACTGAATCAAATAAACTAAGCAAACAAAAAATTTAATAAAATATATTTTTTAAGATTGATTTAACTAAATATAAATTAATTACTAAATAAGCAGATAAGCATGTTCCAAAATCATTGATAGTAAGGTCGTGTTATCATAAATCTTGAAAAAACTTATGCATTAATAATAAATTGCATTAGAGTTGAGTAACTTGCAACTGAACACAGTCATGCTCAGCATTAACACAGCATGTTCAAACGTAAATTGTCTAATCTTAGTGCAACTTATATCAAATTTATAAAAGTATTAGCTTTGTGCAATTTATGTTTTAAGTTGAATTATGACATATATAATTTTTAAAAAAATATTTTTAAAGTTTTTATTTTAAATAAAAAAAGCCTTAATTTTATACTCTTATTTGAGGGGATTTTGTGGGAATGATATCAATAAGTTAAAACATTAGAGAGGCAACGTGGGAGAACCTATGGCTATTGCCCTTACTTTTCAGCTTACTTATTTAAAATTTTACTTATTGTGTCATTCTACATGCATTTAAAAATAATAATTGAATTAAAATATTAAATTTTAAAATTTCTTGAATTTGATTTCTTTAAATAATCCACCCACTGAGGTGAAGATAGATTAGGATAAGTTTTGGTAAAATGTTGGTAGTCTAACGTATTATCATTCATGTTTTTTATTTGCGTTTAATCCTTTTAGTACAAATATGTAGGTTTAATTTAACTTTAAGAGTCATTTAAGACCTATCATTGCATCAAAGTCTTTAAATCTGGCCAATAATGTTTAATTTCTTAAGTTAAAGTTGGTGTAGACTTTAATGAAACTAATATATTTTATATTGACATTTGTTGGTCTGAGTAGTAAAGAGACTCGTTCTTCTTAAATAGTATAAAAAAAAAGTTTTGTAAATTAAAAAAGTGGGTAACGAGAGAATTTTGTCCTCTCTTAAGACTCGTTTAACTTAACTTCGGGCATGATTTAAGTTGATTTCTAGATGGATTTAAGACAAAATAAAATTATATGCTGTATAAAATAAATGTTTAATTAATTATAGTTTATTTAATAAGTTCTTTTTACTCAAACAAAGACAAAAGCTACAACAAAAATTTTATTGAACAATTTTTCTAGTGTCCAGGACACAATAAGAAATCAATAAATAATATATTTTATTAAAAATTGTCATATTTAATGTCAGAGTATCTATTGTCACATTCGTATGTTTATTCTTACTCCAATTTTCTTGTATGCCTTGTGATCCCACTAATATAACAAAGCAGAAAGAGCTTCTATCATCTATAATAGCATTGTTCGACAAGGATGAATCTAGACTAATAAATACCTACACAGACTAATAATAGAAAAAAATTATTTGTAAGATAATTTTTTTAGGTTCATGGACAGAAATTATGGAATGTCTCTAAGTTCAAACAGCTCAAAACTAATTTTTACTTATGGTTCATAATTGCTATTGGCCATAGAAAATTTTGCACACAGTAAAGTTTTAATCATAAAATTTTTTGTTAAATAAATCGACCACATATGTGAATGTCACACAACTATACAAACCCTTTCAGATTACTTGTTAGATAAATTTGATTTTGAGTATTAGTATTCTCACGATGTTTATTAAAATAGGTGAATGTATGAATACCTAACTGATCAATCTACACTCATAAATTATTTTTAATATATTAAATTTAAAATTAAAATATTAAATAAATCACCTTATATAACTTTATTTTATTATTTTCACTTTGTAAATGATTATATATTTCTAATGAATGTTAATATATAATTTTTTTAAACCGATTTTAGAGTGTACAATTATCGAACTATAAATTTATAAACTAATTATTTCATAAATTTGTTATATTGAATTTGATTTTTGAAAAATTATTCTATTTGTTACAAGCACTAGGCCCTCATTATATTTTGTGGTTAATTTATTATGTTTGAATTAAATAGTTATATTTTGTTTGTTATGCTTTGCAATTAATATATTATAAAATAACACTTAAAAAACTAAAGTATACGTCATGAATTCGAATACGAATATTAGTTATTCATAGAATATAAGAATATCATCTATTTTATTTGATGATTTGATTGGGACTGCCATGTAATTTAAATAAAAAGTTCTAATTGAGTGTAAGTTTTTAAACTTAAATTAATGTAAATAAATTCTTTTCTGTATGTGTATATATATATATATATATATATATATATATATATATATACTCTCTTTATCTTAAAAAAAAGAAAAGTAATATAGGAATAAACATTAGAGTTGTTAGTCATAAATATGATCCAAAAACAGGTGTCTTGCTCAAATTCTATCCATTGTCATGGTACGATTCTAATTTTACCTTCATTTATACAATACAGTTTGAGCAAAATCGATTCTTTTGTCATAAGTGATTGATACCAGTGTAAGAATTACAATATATCAATGAAAGTTACGCGGTTGCCGATCTTTGATAATTTGTCAAAGCGGAAAGAAAAGCACAATCAGTTCAAATTAAGTTAAAAGATCTTTATATTAAATCACGTAGATTAAAAAAATTATTAAACTCATAATTAAATTCAAACTCAGTTTTTATATTAATTGTGAAAATGTTAACAAGATTGAAAATAAAGAAAAATATGTAAAAATAATAAATACTTCTAAAGCTTTGTAAAAAAGTATAATTAAGAACTAATAAAAATATATAAAAGATTCTTATAAAAAGGCTCGAAAGAGTACGTATTTACGGTATAAAAGAAGAAAGAATGCTTCGTTGGAACTGCATATAGAAATAGAGAATATTAAGAAAAGATATGGATGACTTATTTATTATTTATCACATGCACCATTCCGAGAAAAGAAAAGAAAAGAAAACTACAGACAAGGCAAAAATTGTCCTCTAACTTCTCACTGGCTAATAATATGCCGTTTAAGGATACAAAGTTTGGGGCTTCAAGAATCAGCAAGTTCTATAAGTTGATTGACCACATTTGGATCTGCAAGGGTACTTGTATCTCCAAGTTCATCCAGCTGCCTCGAAGCTATTTTTCTCAGAATTCTTCTCATTATCTTTCCACTCCTTGTTTTTGGAAGGCCAGGTGCCCAATGGATTTTGTCAGGTGCTGCAAAGGCTCCTATCTGCAATGTTAAAAAAAATTAATGTGAATATTAATTTATAAATTAAAGTTCCACAAATTGACCTGTAATTCATATTCTATTAAGTCATCCCAAGTTAGCCTGATTACATAAAGAATATGGACTTCCTTGGCTTTGTATCAAAAGATTTCAAAAAGCAAAAATTAACTTAGCATCGGTGTGTATACACAGAAAAATACCATCCCTCCATATACATCTAAGTGACTCATGATAATTAGTGGTGTCAAATTGTAATGTAGAGCCTGTTAGCTGAAACACAGAATTAAAACATTGTCTAAGGAATGATGGATTCATGTTGTGTTCCATATTAGTTAAGAATATAGGCAGAATACTTTTTGTAAGAGTTTGTGTAGTCCTCCTCTAATGACGAAGCTTTAGAGATTGATTTTTTTTTTAAAAAAAAACAAGACAAATAAGCTCAAAAAGCTAATTGCCTAAGGCAACCTCTATCAATACCGACTGAAGAAGAATCAAAATATAAAAAATCAAAATAAATGAAGGAATAATATTGAAATATCATATTGAGAGATCATATCATGACTGTATTTAGCTAGAGCATCAGTAACACCATTTCCTTCTCTCAAAGTATGGTTCCATATTACTTCATCTTTCACGGCTGATAGAGAGCTAATATCTTACACAAATTGAAAACATGAGTTATGATTAGGACAACCAAGTTCCATTAGGTGAAGAGCTACTCTAAAGGTTGCTTCCCTAATGATATTTTTATAGCTCTTTGTCACTGCAAGTTGTAATCCATAGTATACACCGCACATATCTGCCATCAAGCTAAAGTAGGACCCAACTTTTGCAGAAAAGACATTTACAAAGTATCCATTATGATCTCGAATAATGTCACCACAAGTTGTTTGATCAGACTAAGCATCATATTAACCATCTTTATTGACTTAAATCCACAATTCAGGTGGAGGATGTCGTTACATGTTACTCACAATTGGCTTGAAGGAGGTTCTGTTTTGGAGAATGGAGAGACTTAAAAGCTCTATTAATCTCATCCACATGTTTTCTGATAACATTCAACACGTCTACAAGAACTGGTGATGCCCGTTGGAAGATCCATTCATTTCTTTTTTGCCAGAGAATAGAAATGGTAACTATAAAGATAGTGTTCCAATAATAGTAATGGTTGGAATCCAATCTAAATCTCATATTAGCATTCATCCAGTCTTTTTAAGTCCAAGCTCCAAAAGTTTTGTATTCTTGCATTAGGAAGTAAGTGTAACCATACTTGTGTAGCAAATTCACAATCTCTCAATATGTGAATAATGGTTTCATCTTTGTCAGGACAAATCGAGCAAGACCCATCCAAAGTAAGGTGACAACTAACTCTCAACATTTGATAACAAGGCATCATTATAAACTTTCCAAAGGAAAAGCTTAAGTCTTTTGAGGGCCATTCCATTTCGAGATATCTTTGAATTTGAGAGTGAGTTAGGCTCATGTTTCTTATCTCATGTATTATACTATTATTTAACAAGAGAACTAATTAAGATTTCAGGAAATCATTTCAGTTATTCTCAGTAGAATGATAAAATTTCCATGAATATCTTGAACAACTAATAGCACTACACTAGGGGTCAATCCAAAATACAACCCCCACACAAATGCCATTACTCTCTGGTTGTATGATGCAGACAAATGTTATCTAAATTGTAAAAGGATTCAAACAATAATAGCATGAGAGTTTATCAAGGCATATTAGTTCCATGTTCTCATCTTAGAGCACCGTTGTCAGGAAAATTCCTGAGAAAAAATAGTCCATTGTCTTTTCTTTCATTCCTGTCAACTAGTAATAAATCCAGGAATAATTTAAAGGAAATTTTTTTCATTAAACCCTTAACCATCCAGGATATTATTGACTGACCATAGTGCTCAGATAACCGTTAAATTTTGTATATGCTTTTGGAAAATGTGTAATTATGTGTCTATATGAGAACATATAGTGGATTATATACAGACCTGCTTTCGAACTGTGAGTATGAGGTTCTTCCGCAGTTCTTCACTGTAAGGAACACCATCTACAATGGTAACAAATGCGTAGATTCCCTGTCCTTTGACCTACATTAACAATGGTAATTGATTCAAATAGAGGCAGCAATCACTCGGTAATGCTATAAAGAAACTGCAATTAATTTCTTTCATACAAACAAAAACACACTCGATAACACACAAGAAAAGGATGTTCTGTAGTCATACCTCATGTTCCACACCAACCACAGCAGCCTCTGCACACTGAGGATGTGAAACTAGAGCTGATTCCACTTCTGCTGTGCCAATTCGATGCCCACTGAATATAACAAAATTATATTAGACTTAAACATCAAATAGAATAGAACTGCATGGATGGTATAACCTGTCTATATATGTTTACATGCTTGTACTTACAAAGAAAGAAATTGCAAGGTTGAGGAATCATCTATAATTGCTTTTGAAATTTAAATAATACCTGACATTGATGACATCATCAACTCTTCCAGTGAGCCAATGATATCCATCTTTATCCCTGAAACAAAGTTAAATGAGTAGATCATAATTATCTCACACATTGCACATGTTCTGGTGTTTCCTGTGTTTGAAGTAAAATAACAGACAACACAAGAATCCAGTAAATCACTAACCTGCTGCAACCATCACCACTGAAATAGTATCCAGCAAATGGCTTGAAATATGTTGTTTCATATCTCTCATGATCACCATATAGAGTTCTGAATGCCCCTGGCCATGATTTCTTAACACACAAATACCCACTGCACTCACCTTCTATTTCAACACCTTTCTCATCCACTATGACAGGCTACAGTTACAAAATGATGAAGGCAAAGTGAAATAGTAGCGAAGAGATAAAACAAATTTATTACATTATAAAATGAACATAAAGGGTCTATATAAAAGACCTGAACTCCAAAGAAAGGGAAAGTTGCAGAACCGGGCTTCTGGGGCCAAGCACCTGGTAGTGGAGTTATCTACGTGCAACAGTAAAAAATTTTAGACCCAAAGAAAGAAGAGCGCAAACACGATAAGCTAATGTGTGTGTGTCGTGACAAGATAGAACCTAAGAGCTAAGACTATTTACAAACCTAACTTTCCATTACCACTTGAGCTGTGCATGTAGGACAGAACAGATTAATTGTAACTACCGGAACAAACTCATATTATATGTTCAGTGTCAGCCATTAGAATCATATTTCAGTATTTGACACACATAATCAATGAAAGCTGCAATACCATGAAGCCACCAGTTTCTGTTTGCCACCAGGTGTCTGAGATAGGGCACCTTGAATCTCCAACTACATTGTAAAACCACCTGAAAGAGAAAGATCAAAGAATGCATCAGAATGTCCTCTGATATACAAAATTAAGCAGTAAATATCTAAAAAAATACAGATAATAACCTCCATGCACTAGGATTTATGGGCTCTCCTACACTTCCCAGCACTCGTAAAGATTTCCTTGAGTAGCGAGTAACATACTGCACGAATTACAATATTCTGAATGAATGATTAAATTAAGAAAGAATGCAACTCAACACTCTTGCATCAGATAGTTCCCTTGTTCTATCATTATGTTCAGATATTCTGGTATGAATTTTGTTTTTCACAATATTAACATAAACTACAAATTATATTCCCATAACAGATGCAAAGACATCAATTTTATATGAGGACATATTTAAGATTTTTTTGATAAAAGATTTATAATAAATTATCTGGATATAAGGATCTATTTGGCTTGAGAAAACGTTTTATGCTTTTTATTTCTTATTTTCACAGATAATTACACAAAAATGCCATCTTGTTTACTTTTTGTATTTTGTTGTCACTTGTCATAGATTCGTATAAAAAACAAAGCAAACAAGTTTTTCTTCATAAAATAACAGTTCATTTCATTAAAAATTGCAACAATATTAAGTTTCTCTAGCCTTCATTCAAACTAAAACTAATTTAAGATATGGAGTGAGGAATGCCCAAAAAGATGAGATATACTCTGGGGTGTGTGTGTGCTTCCAGAAGCATTTATTCACAGTGGAATCATTTTTCACCCAGGTATACTAAGCACATTCAAGCATAGAGGTATCTTACCGCATCACCATCACGCATGAGGGACCTTACTAGTGTGGGGGCAGTGTAGAATATTGTCACTTTATATTTGTCAACAATATCCCAACTTCGCCCAGCATCAGGATAATTGGGAGCCTGCATTCACGTAGATATCAGATTTAAAGTGAAGTACATATTAGAAATTCCTTGACTCATAATTTTCTATGAAATCAAAATGCCAATACCATGATGTTTGTGTAAATCACTGTACTCTTATTTATAAACCCTGCAAGTATATTTCTTTTTAAAATATGTTGCCAAGAAAATATTTTTGTACCTCCAAAGATCAATATGAGGGAATCAAAATAACATGATGTATGTAACCAAACCATAACCTAGACAACAAACTGATCAGGTATTAATCGTTGACCTCTTGCTAATGAGAGTCATAAACTTCTTTCTATCAACTAGCCATTGATACATTAAGTACCTCACTTTAAACAGCATTTCAGCAGTTCAGTTTCTTTGAAACAAGAGTGTAAAGTCATGGAAAATCCTTTTTATAAGTGATTTACTAAAAGGGGTTCTGTTGGGTCTAAGCCAATTGGACCCCCATTAAAGACATATCAAAGGAGGGGTAAAAAGGGAAAGGTGAGTAAGGAGGCCATTAGGCAAGACTCTAACAGACTAACAAATTAGCATACGTGGCAAGGAGAAGAGAGAGGAAAGATGCAGCGGGATATATGGAGGCTGGACAGAGGGACGAAGATAGGGATTATCAAGGAAGTTATTCGGGGTGGCTGTTGCCACAGGAGGAATCTCATTCTCTAGCAGCTAGTTTTCTTCCTGTCATCTATTGCTATTTGTCTGTACTACCAGGGTCATTCCCTGGGTTTGTTCTTTTAATTCCATAATACAATCAGTTCCTATCAGGTTCAATCTATGACCTCTACTCAAATCCTGCCCTACTTTATTTCGGGTAAGGTAAGGTAAGCCCAAGTGCTGAGTTAATGAACATTTGGTAACATTTCATTTTCTTTTTGGATGTTCAGTAACTATCTGTGAGCTCAAAAAGAAATGTACTTTCTCACAACACTATATATTCACCGGTACAACACATTCTGTTCTTTTTTAGAAATCTTAACCAATAACAAGCAATTGCCAAAGCATTTTTCCCACTAAGTGGGATTGGCTACATAATCAAACAATCCATTTTGTTCAATTAAACACCAACTTTTCAAAGAAGCGATTTTGATATAAGTATTTTTATATTGGTTTCACTAAGAGTTCTTGATCTTCCTCTACTGCTAACAAGCTAACCTCCATCTGGGTTTTGATTGGTCTTCTTCTCACATCATCAAACCATTTTTTAGAATCCTTAAATTGTAGAAGTTTATATTCATGGTTGAATTGTTCTTTTTTATTCCACTGACAACATGTCTATTGCATTCATTTTCTCTATTTCCATGATGAATATGAATGTTTGACAATATATTCCAAGTTGAGATTTATTACCCCTTCAAACACAACGACACTTGCACCATTGAGCATGGGTCCATAAGTGACATAGCTGTGCCCAGTAATCCAACCACAATCAGCTGTACACCTGTAGTCAGGGTATAAAGGAGTTAAATAAGAGTACTGATCCAGTTTTCATCAAGAACATCTCAAAAATAAAAAGGATAGAAGATAAACTATAAAAGATACCAGTAGATGTCAGACGGCTTGTAGTCAAATGCATACTTGAATGTTGTTGCAGTGTACACCATGTAACCACCAGTTGTATGGAGGACACCCTTTTAGGAACACATGTTAGAAAGCAGCATCCGCAACTAAAGAAAGAAAGAAAAAGAAATGTGAGTTAAAGTACAGCACACAAATACCTTAGGTTTTCCTGTACTCCCACTTGTATAGAGTAGAAAAAGTGGATCCTCTGCGTCAACCCACTCCACTGGACAAGTAGTTGGATATTGAGGAATGGTGTCCTGCAAAATCAGTAAAGAGTAGGAAAAAAATAATGGTTAAAAAAAGGGTGGAATTTTATCATAATTATAAAAGCAATAGCCATGAACATGAAAAAAATACTTAATCACCACTAAACAGAAAGTAAAGATTCATAGAAAATCTTATCAATATCATTAGAAAAAAATTAATTTGTTAGAAATAACAGCGGAAATTTAAACTGAAACAATTGTGACTAATTCTAAGCAAAAACACGTAGACATTTTGCACAAGTACAGAAAACATAATTCATGATACTACAGTTAGCTAACCATGTGGGAGTATATATGCAACGAGGGGAAAAACTTTCACATACTAACCTGCCACCATATATCTCGCCCCTCCTTCCATTTGGTATCTACCCTCTTCATTGCCAATGGGTTTTCATAAACTAGGCATACATCTGTTTAAACATGAAAAGAAAAAGAATTAGGTCAAAGAAGATAATAAAGGGAACATTATGTATTAGGGATTAAATTGGATATATCATATACAACTTCATAACATAAACCAATATAAGTAATTCTATTGCTCAGTTCAACGGGAATGTCCATTGCATTGTAAAAGTTAAATGGAATAGACAACAACCGTCAAGGGAGAATTTTATAACCTCCCAGCCTACACTTTATTAGTATCAAACATAAGTGAAGACTGTTGGAATGATGATAGTAAAAGAAATTACAATTTGTGGGTTTATTGATTTCTTTGTGCTAGGTTTTCATCATCTGAAATTCTCACACTATCAAGTATCAATTAAACTTATCAACGTATAGGAAAATCCCACTCCCTAAAGCCAGGCAGCTAAGAAGGGAGAGCCTCTACATTAATTAATATTTATGCATCCCATGCCCAGCTGATATGGGAATGGGACTCATGCTCCCATGTTACATAATATCTCACAAGATAAAAGAAAATTGCAAGACATGAACAACACCCAGAAGGCTATGTTGATCATCGTCAACTAAAAAGTTTTATTAGTAGTCATTTTATTTGAAGAAAGTGTTTGCCTATCTACATGCTAGTAAGCTCAAGTTTTGTAACTGATCATCATGAACTTTAAAGTGGTGCTTGATGTTAGCTATGTTGATCTCTCTCTCTCTCTCTCTCTCTCTCTCTCTTGGTGTTTGTGTATCTACCATGTACACACTTATGCTTGAATTGTAATAAGTGAATCAGAACGCCAAAATATTTATTGAAGGCATTACAGGACTGAGTCTGAAACTATAAAAAAGTCAATGATATCCCCACCTGTAGAGACCCCATTTTGGGCTGAATCATTGATGGCAGCGTCAACTATATCTTTCAGATAGATAGGCTTGGAGCCTCTTTTAACAGCATTGCAGGTAATTACAACTTTTGGTTTACAATCAATTATTCTCTGGGCAAGAGATTCTGCAGAAAAACCGGCAAATACAACCTAACCAAATCAAAAAGCTAACAGTATTATCTCAAAATGCAAGTGAAACATATCAAGCAATCTGATAATTATGCGAATATGACTAAACAAGAAAATAGTGGACAAAGATTAAAAATAGTTTGTGTGATACCGAATGAACAGCACCAATGCGAGCACAGGCAAGCATTGCAACGGGAAGCTCCATAAGCATGGGCAAATAAATAACTACAGCATCTCCTTTCTTCACACCAGCATCTTTCAGGTAGTTTGCAAGCTGGAACAAAAATTATTCAATCACTCAGCCAATTTGTGTTTTCCACATAACAACAAAACATTCAAGCACCCAAACTTGAGAAACTTAAGCTTGAATATTCTCTTTCTATGAGAAAGAGACACTTAGAGAGGAAAGTCAGAACTAACCTGGCAAACTTTATGGAGAAGCTGAGTGTATGTTAAAGTACCATCCATACCAGGCTCATTGCCTTCCCAGTAAATGGCAACTTTGTCACCAAGTCCAGCTTCAACATTTCTATCCAAGCAATTATAACAGATGTTGGTGATGCCACCCTTGAACCACTGAAGCAATGCAACAAGTGAAGACAGACAAACAAGACACAACCACACTCAGCCTTTGAACAAACACTATCAGAAGGAAAAATCGAAGCAAGATCCAAATTATATAATGGAAACAAACCAGTCACCTCAATCTTGATTTTTCCTTTTCTAACATCAAAATTTTCATCACACACTTTATCCCCCCATCTCTGTTTCCAATAGAACTCTGATGCAATATCAGACCAAAATCCAGCAGGGTCCTCAATCGATCTATTGTACATCTCCAGATACTGACAGATCACAAGTCACACAAACACACCAAAAATAAATAAAGAACCGTTTTAATTTTCTGAAAATTCTACACAAATAGTGAAACCCGAAAAAAAAAACACTTTTTTGGCCTAAATAAGTCAAAATCCATGGAACCCCAGAAAAAAATTCTGAAGCTGCACGTTAAAATTTAACAAAAATCAACGAAAACAGTGTGAAACCTGTTCAGGGGACTGAACATTTGCTTGGGTAGCAAAATCCTGACTTGGAAGAACGAAATCATCCTCTTCAGTGGCGAGAGATTCTCCAAGTATCACAGCGTTCAACTGTGAAATGTGGCCAGCACCAGATGGCAGAAGCTTCATGGATTCCACGTGGCGCAGAAAATTGTTGGTCCTCAAATTTGAAGCCATAGTAATAGAGTTCCTCCTCTTGCTTTTCTTCCTAGTGAGGCTCCCACAGTTCCAAGACAAAGAGGCAGAAGAACAAGACCTGTTCAGAATGTGATCCAACGCAATTGGGTGTTGTGGGTCACACGCAACACCGCCAAGATGAACAGAAACAGAGTTATAGGACGCAGGAATCATTCTGCCACAGTTGTCAACAAGTAATATATAAAGAATTATAATAATTAATAAAACTGAAGAATCCCAAAATCAGCAAATAAAATGGTTTATTTTCTAACTTAATTTATTTATTTATCAGCGGAGAGAGTTGGAACTTGGAAGCCGATGATGGTCACGTTCATAGGACCACAAGAGGAAAATTATAAAATAGAAAAAATGTTTTGTTTTTTAATTCCAAAGTCCAATTAGATAGACGTAAGAATTGTTTGGTCAGAGTGTTATTATTGCAAAACTTTGGTAACCTTTATTGTGGGACTTCGGGTGAGATGAGGAAGAAAGGAAGAGACATTTGGATGAGGTGAGATGAGGGTTTTTCAAAAGGCACTTGTTTCTTTTCTTGAGTTTCAAAGGGAAGAGGATGATCTATTCCTAGTTTTCAGTCAAAACCACTGTGATTCAAAAATGAAAATGATAATTACAATACCATTTTTTTGTCATGATCCCAAATAGTCAGAGATTGCGTGAGCAACATTACTAATGGAGAAATAAAAAAACAAATGATTGTTTGTGTTTCTATATAAGAGAAAATCAAAGCTAGGAATCCCTTGGAAACGGTTGGGAAGATAATGTTGTATAAAAAATAAGGCAGCGATGTGCACGATAGGTTGACCTCTTAAAAAAAAGTGCTATGTTGAACAATAAATAAGTAAATAAACAAATAAATGATAAAGTTATCGGAACCATTGTTTCCGGCAAAGGTTTGGCATAGACATGAATGACTATGAAGAAGATTGAATTCAAAGGTATCATAAAAGAAAAACTTACTCTGAATTTGAATTTGGATCAAAACTCAACTTTCCACAAAAGACTAAGAGAAATGTCGCAAGGCAATATGAGGTGGACAAGTGACATACGAAGCTGTTGGCAGGTTTGGGATTAACCACTCAAATGATTCGGTTAAATAGGTACCCTTTTATTGACAACATAGTACTTTGATGATAGAACATTTGGGTTTTGATGATTAGTTGATGCCGTGGATTTTGATGATATGGCACCTTTGGGTATCACCTTGCCGGCTGTTTCGGTTCACTGGTTTGGACTTTGTACCATTTCATATATTTTTTTTATAGCACTTCCTCTTCTGTTGATGATATTTTAGCTTGAATGTCCTAGTAAATTTCGTTTTTTCTTCTATAATGCACATTTAATTTTAATATGAAACATTTTTCAAGAAGCATTCATTGAACTTGTATTCACAACGAATATATAACATGTTGAATGTAAATTAGGTAGTGAAAATTGAAATTATTGTATTGATGAGCACAACAAGTTTACATCAAGATTTTATAAATTTCGGTGCATATGTATTTTTCATAGACTTTGTTAATTTATCATGAAAAGAAATTATTTTAACTTTAACTTATGTATATATTTTTTATTCATTTCAGTTATCCAACCTTTTATTTCATGTTAAATTTATCTTATTTCAACTTTCATTAAAGTTAAAATTTCACCAAAATTTGACTTATCTCATTTATATTTACCATAAATGTATCAACATTCTTATCCTTTTAATTTTTACTTTTAGTTGAATTTTTTAACCTTTTTATTTTATTCAATTCAATCATTTCGTGTAAATTTTATCCTTATATCAACTTTTGTTATAATAGAGTTGAAATTTCACTCAAATATGGGTTGTCTTACCAAAATCTACCACAAAATAATTGTTTACACTTGTAAACCTGAAAAAAAAAGTCAAACCAACCCTAACTCATGAATTTTCACATGATTATATGTGTTTTAGATAAAGAATAAAGGTGAACACAAAGCATAATAAAACCCTAAGGGTAGTGCACATAAATATTTTTTATTATTTTTAATTAATATTAATGATTTTACATAAACAACGATTGATTTTTCAACAACATAGTATTTTATAAACTTTAAATAAATTCTCTTATAATTATTTTATTTATTTTATCTATTTATTTAATAACAAATAATGTTCATTTGTAATTGTATCATATTTAATTCTTTCAAAAGAAGAATTAAAAATGTTGACATTGGTGGAAGTTGAGACATTGTTAGAAAGTAATAGAAGTTTAGCAGATTATCTAACAATGCCAAAATCAAATGGGTCTTTCATTCTCCACTGTAACAATAGACTCATTATGGATGAATTATGCTATGATAAGGAAAAATAACCACCTAAGCATACTCAAATAATTGAAGACCAAAGAGGTATTTGTGAAAAAAAACTTGTCTAATTAGTTTCTCATAATAATGATGGATTACTTTCTTTTATAGGTATAGAAGAACTGGAAAAACATGTATGCAAAGAGGTGTATATTAGTAACAATTGGACAAACATTTATGCAGAGAGGTATATTAGTAACAATTGGACAACTCATTCTAAATTTGATATTCTAATTAAAGTATATGAGGACTCAACCTGTAGCTAAGTTAATAATCAAAGCTAAGTTAATTATATGGGATAAGGTTTCCATGACTTATAAACATTGTTTTGAAATTATTGATAGAACATTTAGAGATATTTTGTGCTACTTTACTACTGACACCTTAAATAAATTTTTTGGAGGAAAAGTTATGAATTATTGTGAAGATTTTAAATAAATACTACCTATCATTCAAAATGTAACAAGACAAGATATTATTCATGTAAACATTAATGCTTCGTATCTTAGGCAACTTTGAAAAGTATTGAATTTGAAAGTAAAATATGAGGCTTCTAACTGGATGTTTTGCTACTAAAATTAATTAGTTAAAACACATTCTCCTATTGGATGTTGAACATTGGTGATGAAACTATTGGTAAAGAAAATAAGGATAACATATTATGGAAAAAAACTTATCATTATCTTTTAAAAAACATCACAAATCCAGTATTTTTTTAAAATTGTGCTATTTTGGCACTAACTAGTGAAATAGTTGATAAGTTGAATAATTATATGTTTTTGTTGATACTAGGAGAAAAGTAGAATATATCTTAACTTTGATAATTCATAAACAATGAATGAACGAATATCTTGATTAATCAAACTACGTTCATATTCTAGAATTCTTTTTAATACAACAAACTATTCAAGACTTTCTAAATAACGTTCATACTCTAGAATTCTTTTTAATACAATAAACTATTCGAGACTTCCTAATCATCATTTAAAATTTAAAACTTGGTGTTTACATTATACTTTTGAAAAATATAGATCAATTTTTGTGCATGTGTAATGGTATACATTTGGTGATCACTCATATGGATAATGATGTATTTAAAGTAAAAGCAATATTTAAAAGAAATGTTGGAGAAATTTTTTTTATTCCCCAATTATCATTAATATTATCAGATTCTGTAATTCTTTTCAAGTTTTAGAAGAGACAATTTTATTTTATTTTTTGCATTGATCATAAATATGAACTAGGACAATTTTTAAAACGTGTTGGAATTTATATTCCAAAAATAGTTTTCTCTTATGGCCAATTTTATGTTATAATTTCAAGAGTTAAAAATAGAAATAAATTGAAAATGCTTATCACTAGTACTAAGGTCAGGTTTTTTAGTGTACTTTCAATGTGATTTATAAAGAGATTTTTTGCAATTTATGTTAAGCGAGTAGATATTCCTGTCAATTGTTTAGAACTTTAATTTAAAAACTTATAAATAAACATCAAATATATAGTTGATATTTATAATGTGATTTTCTACTTCATTTATAAAATCTTTAAAAATTTGTACTTGTACATTTTTGTGATAACCATTGTTTGTTTGTCTTATTTATTAAATAGGGTCTTGATATATTTTTCTTAAATGAATGAATTATGTAAAAGCATCTTTATCATTTGTTTTTTTTTCTTTGATAGGCTTTATCATTTGTTTGTTGTTATTAAAAATACTATGATTATGATATTGTATTTATATAAAATTAATAAATATTATTATAACCGTTATAAAATTTAAAAATACAATTAACATATATATATATTCCATGCAACACACAGGTCAAGAAACTAGTTAAATATACATATTTTGTTATAATAAAAATTTAGTTTTAATTAGTACAAATACTTAAAAGAACAACATACAAATTTTGTCGTAATAGTTTGTTGACTAAAACTTGTATAATTCAATAAAATCATCCAAGATATATAGAAATCAATTCAAATTTTGTATTTGGGTTTTGAAAATCATAAGCTCAGAATAGCAAGAAATAAATTTCTTTTTTTTTTTTTTCATTGTGACATGATTCAATGTAATCTTAATGTTTAAATATTACTTTTTCAAGATTAATTTACAGGGTGCATGAGAGGGAAAAGGATCATGGACTTACAGTTTTTCTTAATTTATATTTTAACATATTTAACAAAACAAAACCGATTAAAATATTTAATAGTAGACATAAGCTTACTGTATCCGCTCAAATCGGAGGCTCACTTTAAACAAGTTGGATCCTATTTACTAATTTGATAGAATATTTGCCGGAAATCTTAAGATGTACAACAATTTTCATATACATTGTAAGATCCAAAATTTCCCCCCACTTTCTCCAATGTGATTTTCTTTAATTTTATAGGACAAACTTCGCAGATCATCATGGATCCCATAGTATGTTAAACATAAACTATAGATATCCGTTTAGCTATATATATAGTATGCAGACTTCTCTAAGCTCCTGAGAAGACAATGTGACATGGAGCTCTCGCATTGTGTGATAAAGTCACAATTCATCTACTTGTTTGGCTAGTATCAACCTACATCTCACTTGAGATCTGGAGTTGAAGTGGAGTGCTTGTGGAAGAATGGTCTAAAACTAGTTCTGATAAAACGAAATCCCCACAATGCTTTTGTATGAAGTTCTTTATGTCATCTATACTAGTGAGTTTGCTCTCTTGAAGCAATTCTGCAACATTATGATTTGCTTCCATTGACAATGCCCTCGTGTTCCCGAACGTGTGAATTTCATCCACCTTATTAGCGCGAGTATAGAGTTCAACCATGCATGTATAGTGCTCCAAGATAGGTGTTATACCATAACAATCTGTCATAATATTGAAATACTTCTGACCTTGTTCTAGGTCATTCATATGAACACAGGCACTCAGAACACCTACAAATGTGATAGCATCCGGTACTACATTTGCCTTCTCCATTTCTTCGAAAAGGGAAATGGCTTCATTCCTAAACCCGTGCACACCCAAGCTAGTGATCATCGTATTCCAGGTAGCCAAGTTTCTCACCTGCATCATACCAAACACTGTCCTTGCATGATCTAGATTTCCACACTTGCTGTACATGTCAATAAGTGCGGTACCCAAGAAAGGATCAACCTCAAACCCATTCTTGAGAACAAAATCATGAATCCATCTACCCAACTTGAGGCTACCCATTTCAGTACAAGCTTTAACCAAGCTCACCACAGTGTATTCATTTGGCTTCACATTATCGGCATGCATTCTTTCAAACAAATTAAAAGCTTCAGTGGGTTGCTTGTGTTTCACATACCCATCAATCATTGCTGTCCAGGAAACAACATTTTTAGAAGGCATTTGCTCAAACAATTTGCGGGCAGCGTCCAATTGTCCATAAGCAGCAAGACCAGCAATCACGGTGGTCCACGAGAACACATTTCGAACACGCATTTTATCAAACACCTTCCGTCCACCATCTACATCCTCACACTTGAAGTAGAGATTCATCATGGTGTTCTGCACATAAAGATCACCCCAAAATCCCATTTTGAATGCTAAAGCATGGGTTACTCTTCCAAAATCAAGGGCAGAAGAGGCATTGCAAGCATTTATCACAAAAGGATATGTAAATTTGTCAGGTGCAAAGCCATGGCATAGCATAGCCTTGAACAAAAGAAGTGCCTTTTCAGGGGAACCACTAATAGTATAAGCTCTAATCATGACATTCCAAGTGAAGGAATCCGGGGCATTGAGTTGATCAAATACCAGAGTGGCATAGTTCGTTTTACCATAAGAAGAAGAAAGCTGAAGAAGCTTCCTAATAAGCAATTGGTCATAGGTGAGACCAAAACGGATTATTCTACCATGGACTTGCTTCAGCTGCTTGAAATTGCTGCATCTTTGAAGAAAGACAAGAGCTTCCTGAGAACAAAACCTTGTTCCTGGGGTTCCCACATAGGGGACATTGATGTCTGGGGTGCAACATGCCACCTTCATGGCATGCCCAATTCCAAATTGTTCGAGTTACCTACCCAAACGCGTTCTTTGATTTGTTGCAGTTGTCAGCACCAATTGGGATAAACTCGGGACACAAAAGACAAACCCACAACGAAAGGAATCAAAGGATAACGTTGCGAATTGCTAAATGCTCCACCGCACGTACGTTTGATTGCTGCACTCTTTGGATAAGGTTGCCTTTATCACTGCTCCAGAAAATCAAAGGATAAAACGCTTCCCCACAACAATGCGAGTGGAATAAAATATGTTGACGCGGTTCCAATCAACGACCGCAGAATACAACTATTAATGAAAGAAAATTTATAAATATATTTTTTTCTACACTTACAGCTTTTTTTGAACTCTCCAACTTGGCAGACTGTAATCAAAAGTTTGTTTCATCAGTCTTTTTTCTTTCTTTGTTCAGGAAATTTTCCATTTACAAAATCCAAACCTACTTCCGTTAATTATTTTAATCAAAATTTTTACTTTAGTAAATTATTCTCTTTCACCTTTTATTTCTGATAAAATGCAAAAATACAAGTTGATCATTATAGGTAAGGCTCTAATATAATATAGTATTCGTCGTGTATTTTACACATTAAAACCTTTTATTTAAAATCAATTAACAATAATTTTTGGTACATTAACACACTAATGAATAAGATATATTGGCGATTTTGTTTCCTGGTAAGTTATTTCCAGCTTATTAGGAGTAAATTCTTCATTTTTACCATGTCTGTGTAATTATTTTATCGTAACTTGTAGCATGGAATTTGTGTTTTTAAAAATATTTAGAGAAAAATTTTATTGTCAATAGTAGTTTAATATAGTTGAAATAAAATTGTCTACTTCAAAGGATGTGATTAAAAAAAAAAAAAAAAAGTATTTAATCATTAACTAAAACAATCTCTTCTTACGAAGTAGCAATGCATGAATAACACACTTTAGGTGGGGCCCCTTGAAGTCTTTCCCATTGGGCTTTTAGGATTGGATTGGTCCTCACTCTCACTCTTCTCTACTTCTGAGAAATTGATTGTTCCTCCTCTTCTTCCCCTTCGCTGCTTAGTCCTAATTCATTCACAGAGACGAGAATGGGCGCGAGCAGCGACCCCACCCAAGACGGTTCAGACGAGCAACAGAAGCGTTCAGAGATCTACACATACGAGGCACCATGGCACATCTATGCCATGAACTGGAGCGTCCGTCGCGACAAAAAGTACCGTCTCGCCATCGCTTCTCTCCTCGAACAGTACCCTAACCGAGTCGAAATCGTCCAACTCGACGATTCCAATGGCGAGATCCGCTGCGACCCAAACCTCTCTTTCGAACACCCTTACCCTCCCACAAAAGCCATCTTCATCCCCGACAAAGACTGCCTCCGCCCGGACCTCCTCGCCACCTCCTCCGACTTCCTCCGTGTCTGGCGCATCTCCGATCCCGACGAATCGAAACCTCAACGCGTGGAACTCAAATCCCTCCTCAACGGGAACAAAAACAGCGAGTACTGTGGCCCCCTCACCTCCTTCGACTGGAACGAGGCCGAACCCAAACGCATCGGCACCTCCAGCATCGACACCACCTGCACCATCTGGGACATCGAGAAGGAAACCGTTGATACCCAGCTAATTGCTCACGATAAAGAGGTCTACGACATCGCTTGGGGCGGCGTTGGCGTTTTCGCTTCCGTTTCCGCTGATGGCTCCGTTAGGGTTTTTGATCTCCGTGATAAGGAGCATTCCACTATTATTTACGAGAGCTCTGAGCCGGATACGCCGTTGGTTCGGCTCGGCTGGAATAAACAGGACCCACGCTATATGGCTACGATTATTATGGATAGTGCTAAGGTGGTAGTGTTGGATATTCGCTTCCCCACGCTTCCTGTGGTGGAGCTGCAGAGGCATCAGGCGAGTGTGAACGCTATTGCTTGGGCGCCGCATAGCTCTTGCCATATATGCACCGCAGGGGATGATTCCCAGGCTCTTATTTGGGACCTCTCTTCCATGGGTCAACCCGTTGAGGGTGGACTTGACCCGATTCTTGCTTACACTGCTGGGGCAGAGATTGAGCAGCTTCAGTGGTCGTCTTCGCAGCCTGATTGGGTTGCCATTGCGTTCTCCACAAAGCTTCAGATTCTCAGGGTTTGATTATTATTCCCTCTCTGTTCTGTTCTGTTCTGTTCCATATATGTGCAAACCGAAATTGGGGGTAGGTTTTTAGAGTTGAAAACATGATACTTCTATAGAGTCCTCAAGTCAACTATTGTTGTTTTCCTTTTATTGTTGGAACGTTAACCTTGATGTTTCTGGCTTTAGAACTAAAATACTCTTCCGATTTAGTCCCTAAAACCTAGTGTTAGCTTCTCTCACATTCTTGTTCGTTCTCTGGAAAAATGACCTTATATGTAAATGTTTTCCATTTCGTCCGTGTTTCCACTGTGACTCAATGAGTGTTCATTCAAGGAAAGAAGTCTCTGCTGTAATAGATGGCAAAAGTTTAGTTATGTATTTTTTTTGTCGCTAACTATTTGTTGATAGAACGTTATGGTATGGCATCATTTGATCCTAGCTGATTCCACCTAATGGGAAAAGGTTTAGTTGCTGGGGTTGTTGCTTAAGCTGTTTGGTTTTGGTTTGGATGATGTGTGTGTGTGTGTGTGTGGATGTGCTGATATCTTCACAATCTTTCTGGGCACCCTGTTTTAGAGAAAGCGGATGCAAAAGTGACATAATTGGAGTACAGAGTGAGCTCTGTGGTACCGTTTCCCTTTCTTTTCTCCTTTTATCTTTACATTGTGATGTGTTGGTTTCTCTTAACCTTACCAGGGTTCTATTGTTTGATTACTAGTTTCTTTTTTGTCTTTAGAGAAGCACATAAAATAGTATTAGACATTATCTATAACACAGGAGAGGTTAAAGCACTGATATTACAGAATTCTCCATTTAAGAAATCTGTGTGAAAAGATCATAAACTATATCCTACTTCTCACTGATTAGCCATAGGAGTAATGCTTGCCTGATTAAGAAGAGATCAACAGTTTCAATTCATTTTTTTATTATTCAAACGTTTAGGATCTGTCAAATAAATGCATTCAAACCAATGAACTGATGCTCTGCCCCATGCGGGTAAAGAACCAACCTACCTCATTCGACATATATGAAACAAAATATTTCATATTTATTTCCTCTTTCAGTTGGGAACTATTAAATTGTTGATTGTTTTCAACCAATGATATAAATGACCGATGGGTTTGGAGGCTGTTTGCAGTGAAAAAAAATAAAAAATCAAGTTAATAAAACTCCTGTTGAATTTTCCCTCATGCAGCGGAAATGTCTTTTAGGAAGATTTCCTTGGAAATGTCTTCTCCGCCTTTTTAATGTCATTGAAATGTCTTCTCTTTGAAATTCTAGAAATTATCCATATATTTTTGTAATCGTTGTTTGCATGAAAAGAAAAGAAAGCCTTGTTGTAAAATGATTGTATGTACAATCATGTTAAATAATTGTATGTAAAATCTTGAATGATTGTATGAAACATCGTGTTAGATAATTCACCTGGTGAGTTGCCTTGTACTTGAAATGCTGCTCTTTGCTTCGTTTATGCATTCGGTCTCAGAAGTGGGTCAAAGGAGATGTCTTTCTACCCATTTTTTTTCCTTGGGTGAACCACCTCGAGCATAGACTTAGACGACACAATAGAAGTGGATGGATGGTGATGACTGTAAGATTTTCAAACCTTATGCTAAACTGAACTAGTAGAAGTCAATTCGAACATTTTATCGGGAGATGAGCCATATAAAATGCCTGTTAGATTTTCAAGCGTTATGCTAAACTGAAATTTAATTCAAACAATTTTTTATCTGGAGATGCGCTATGTGCAATGGTGACTAGAGCATGTTTAGAACGGTTATTTTTGGAAGCTTTTTTTAAATTAAAAAAATAAAAAAGCGGAGGATTTATAACCCGGACTTTATGAGTAGGGAAAGCAGGGGAGCTCCACTTTTTCATCCCAAGAAGGGTTGTAATGGCACTGGGAGTCTTTTCTTGGTAGAAGGTGAAATGTTGTGTACCGTATTAGCGAATAAATTTATGGGAAATAGTATTTTGGCGACTAACTGGTCAGAACAACTGAAGGAACAGAACTGGATGTGCAAGCAAGAGTGATGATTAAAATAAGGTTAAAATAACTTATTTTGATGAGTTATGTTAAAAATTTTATTGAAACAAGTTTAAAATTTTTTTAATTATAAACTATTTTCACATATTGTCCATAAATTCTTCAAAATAGGCTTTAAATCATACTGGGAAAAAGTAAATTTTCCCACAGCGATATGAAAGGAAGGATTTTCTGATGCAGTCAATAAAATATCTTACCCCTTAATGTAATCAATCACTGTGAGAGAGAGAGAGAGAGAGAGAGAGATCTATTTGGCTCCAGTAGATCAATCGAATGCCATTTTTTCGCACATGCATATACATATACACGTGGTCAAATAGTAGAATTCAATGATGTGTTCCAGTTGAACCATTTTAATGACAGTGAACTTATTAACAGCCACGAACTTGGAAAGGTGTCAAAATTTGCAGGGCATCGCAGTTTGACCATTCTAATTATTGCAGTCGTTCACTTATTGCTTTCCACAAACTAGGTGCAACGTTAAATTTTAAAATGATGGCTGCTTCTGGACGACGACTTATCTCTTCTCTTGTCCACATAACGTAGAATGAGTGACGTTACTTGTGCCCATTTACATTCACCCTTTTTAAACTCCATAATTTATTGGACGACACTAAATCAACCTAATACTTTTTTTAATACTGTTCAGATGTGAACATCCTTATCTTTATTTGTGGATTTGAGAATCACAACGGGAACACAATCACTAGAGGCACTGCTGGGTGTACACTTCTGACATCATCTTCATTATTGTTGGTGAGGAGGGATTGATGGTTATTATTTTATTTCCAATTAATTGAAAAAAAAAAAACCAATTAGATTGTTGTTACTGTTATTTAGCGTTAGGCAAACGCCAAAATTTACCCACAAAAATTATCATGCCATTTTCCCCACATACGCAAGAAGAAATCAGCTAGTAAGTTTTGGAATCGTTTGGTTTCTCTTCCATTTTATCCAAAGGTGTTCTCATTACAAAAATAATCCCCTGCTCGCTCCGTTGGTCTCCAAAGTGGTGGCTGAAAAATGTTGATTGTCAAAATAGTAGTATTCTTCATCACAAGCCTGAGGCAAAGGAATAAAGGTGCTGCACAATTGGGGACTGCAATTGCACTTGGCTGAGCAACGTTATAGTGCATGGGATGAGTTTTCCTAGGAAAAAATTTCATCAACATCTAAATGTAGACACCTAAAGATGCCCCTTCATATTATAGGAACATACTTTTGGGATGGGTGTAGACATAAATAAAAATAAGTATGAGATAAAAAATAAGAATATTATAATGTTACATTCATTGTCAATTTTGAGTAGTTCAAAAATGAAACTAATTCTCATATTACCATATAGTTGTATGCCAGGATGAGATGAACCATGACAATCAATGACATTCACTTTTGCATGAAGCAGAGATGGATCATCTCCCTTCATTTTTTAAGGAGCACTTGGAACACTTGTTGTTATGTTCCAATCCTTCCTTCTTGCCTTCATCCTCACCTTCTCTATAACCCTTGATTTCCCAATTTTTGTAACATCCATCGTGCTGCTTTTCTTGCTTAATTACATACGTTGTTGTTTTTTTCTTCTGATTTTAGCGCATCTAATTTCTTTTCAGCTGCTTCTTCCTTTTTCGCCGCATCTTTCCTTTGCGCTTTAAATTCCTCATAGCCACGGATTGCATGCTTTCCAACTTCTATAAGCTTTTTAATCAAAACTTTAGGATTCACGTTTCCTTAAACTTTTGCTTTCGGCACCAATGAGTCTATATGTGTCCTCAAAAGTCAATACACATGGCATTGTGAACAATTCCCTTTGGAAGCAGAAAAGCCTGGAGATATAAAAAGTATGTGTTTTTTTTTTTTTTTTTAAAAGCCAGTTGACACTGGTGTTAAATTTGAGCAATTATAATATTTAATAAATTTTTATAAAATATAAAATTAATTAATCTAAATATTGATTTAAATATTTTCATTAATTAGATTAACTTTGTAAAATTTCTCATAAAAACAAAGTGAATAGATCTTTTATTTCATTACTTTATTTAATGTATAATAAGTTTTTAAAATAAAAAAATATCAAAATTTAAACAATATACTTATAAATATCTAAATTATTTAAAACTTGAGAAAATTGGATATGTGATCAAGGAAAGGAGAGTTTGGTAGAAGGAGAAGAGAAAAGAGTGATAGGAGAGTAGAAAGATGTGAGAGAATAAGAATTTTTATTTTTGTTTAAGTAAAAATAAAACTAGACCATTTAGTTTCTGTCTAAATTAGATTCGATCTACTCTCTTTCAAAATAATTGTATAATTATTTTGATTTAAATAAGTTTTTAATACTTATAAATATTGTTATTTTTAAATTAGTTCTTGTAAAAAAAATTGTTAATATTTAATCTATAATAATTTAAAAGAACTAAATCTTAATATGATTTTGGATGATAATGACTGTTTTTTTTTATTTTAAAATATTAAAGACTACATATTAATAATTTTTTGTACAAAAAATAAAAAATATATTATTTTTTGGGAACAAAAAACATAATTGGCATTTTCTAATTTTACCTTCAATGCTTCCTGGTAACTTCTTAATTTTCTTCGCAACAGTTGCCTAACCCTCTCCCATTTTGTAAAAGTATTTCCGCGTGTTAAACGTTGGGATGAGGTAAGCTTTGTGCTTTGAGTTAATATTGAAACATAGGATTTCACTTGAAAAAAAATCCAACGTAACATACTAAAACATAGGAGATTAGCTTTACTTCTTCTCTTATTGATTAATTTAATTTAATTTTAAAATGACTTTTATTCAAATATATTGTAAATGATTTTTTTATTTTTATATAAAACCATAAAAAGTTATAATTTTTTTTATAATTTTTTTTAAACACGCATAGGTAATGCATTGTAATGACAAATAATTGGATATGAAGCACTTCCTCCGTTCTAAATTCCAGATATTAGAGTTGTTACTTAATTTGTTCTTATTATTTTATATAAATTTTTTTATATTTTTTATCAATACCTATTTTTGTATTTATAAAAATTATCTTTATTTTTTTATTTTTTAAATTTAAAATTTATTTTTAAAAGTCTTATCTATTAAATTTATAGTTATTAATATGTATTACAATAAATTATGGTTATTAATTAAAAAATACACTATAGCATAAAGTATTATTTTAAAATAATTTATTTTTTAAAATTATTTAATTTTATTATATTTTGATGTATACTATCTGTAGTTATAGAGTTAAGTAAAAACAATTATAAAAAAGTTATTGTTTAAAATATTTTTTTATTATTATATATATAATTATTTATAAAACATAACATTTATTTTTAAATTATTAAATTATATGTATGTTTTTCTATAATAAAACATTAATGTATTACACGGATTAATAAACTAATATAAAATATGCAACATTGTGAGATAAAAAGTTCTATATTTAATTGTGTTCAATTTTTATGTCCCTGTCTTAATTTTTGTTTAATATTTTTGAACTAATCCATTAAGTAAACCTATTTTGTTGACTCTAGATATATTCTTTTTTATAGAGGAAGGTCAGGTTAGCAACATTCTTGTTATGCGGGTTTGTTATGATAGTTGAAGGTGATCTAAAGTTCTTCCAAGGTTTCAATGGAAAGTGTATTCCTGCAGTAAACACTCTAACGCCTAAGTTAGATAAATTTTCACCAGAACTGAGGTATAGGACTATAAAAAGTGTACCTGCACCAAGAATTTTCTTTTTATATAGGTGTTGATGTATTTGTCATTTAACACACTTAACATTACACAAAAATCTATCGCGTGTTTGTATAATGAATTATGACGTACGTGACAGTTGTCACTTGTTAGAAAATGGATGAGACTTGGCTAGGATGAAACTTGGATAGAGTGAATCATGAACCTAGGTGAGCCTTGGTCAGGATAGATCCTAAGCCATGGCCAAGTTGAAACTTGAGGACATTCTAATATTTTTCACACATTAGTTGACATGAAAATTGAGCATAGGTGAGCCTTGACTGTAGTGAATCTTAAGTCGAGATGAAAGTTAATGTCGTTCAATTGCTCTTCACACTTTGGCTAAGATGAACCTTGAGCTTATAAAAAATATGGTTGAATGACTTGCCTGTCATGTTTCTAGTTTCCATTTAATATATAGATCAATATACAAATAATAAGACTGATATTTAGGCTAAATTAAAGGAATGTTTATTTCTAAGTAGGCTAATTCCTAAACTGATATGTAAGGATTACAACTAAT